GATAGTATGATGGCCACAGTTCAATCAAGAACGAAAGAACTTTGTCGCCCAGAGTGTTAAATAAACATGTAATACTGAGTAAATATTTTGAAGCCTGTTTAAGGAATTGGAAGGATCATTCAGAACTTACGTGAATCCATAATATGCCCAGGCTATTGCAAGGTCAAAAAGACAAATCGAGAAAGTCGATGGCTCCGACGAAGTAAAAGACTTAAAGTATAGCCCAATAATGCTAAAATTCAAACGTAGAAAGAATTAATGGTAGTCATTAAGCACGAGAGGCAACTTGAAAAAAAGTAGTCTTAATGTCATAAAGGCAGAATAATTTGAAAAAATAATCTCTACTTTGCGCCAACAAAGCCTTTAGTGGAACTTTCCGAGCATATTACATCTACTAGGAAGTGAAATATATCTTCAGATGCAGATCCTTACCTCTATTTATTTATATTTAGTGATTTGTTCCAGAAACAGACACAGTAAAATTCGCAATTTTCTTTGATTTAAATAGCATTAGGGATGCGTAGTCTAATGCTAAAAAAGGTGATATCTGGATCTGCAACCCTGATCCGATTTCCATTTAGTGGTCATTATTCATAGAAAGTGATGGTAAATAGTCTGTGGTTGACGACAATCTATTTAAGGAAGAGATATTGCAACGAAATTAAAGCCTTTGCTTGGTTTCATTACGGACAGATCATACATCGATCATTAAAAATTCTGCAAACTTATGGTAAACCTTCCTTCATAAGTTGTAGGCCTTTTGAAAATCCTCCATTCAAAGATCCATCAAATCCGGTAAAAGTCCCGAAAGGCTATAGACTTTTAAAAATATATGCATCAGTCAATATATAGCCGAATTCAAAAAGTTTGTCTCATTAAAATGGAATCTAAATCGTTAAGCTGGTACTATATAAAGGTGTCACTCAACTTTTTATTTGAAAACAAAAGTTGGTTGGAAGACATTTGCGAACTGATCTCGCCATAAACGATAGGACCACCTTCTTAATTTGGTAGCAGGAAAAAGAAAAATTAGACGATCTCCCGATTTTCGTAAACTAAAAAGTCAAATTTACAATGGATGTGGAGGTCATTCGATCAAAAGAGACTCTTAAGAAACTACTTTTCGGAAAAAAATCACGTGCTAGAAGAACTCTTAATTTCCAATCTAACCATACTTATAGAGGGAAGATTGGAATACTCTGGAGTATGGTTATAAGAGCACTACGACTTACTTATTCTGAATACTGGGAAGAGGAACTGGAAAAGCCGATTAAGACGTCCATTGGAAATAGATATCCAGAAGAAGCAATACAACACAGCTTATGGATCTTGATTAACAAATTGAAGGGCGGATATTATTTAAAGAAAGCTAGATAAACAGAGAAAAATCGATAGATATGTCTACCACCATGCAGACGATACTATGGAAATGGAACATTCGTACAATCCTGAAGGTAAGGGCAATCCTCTTCAACAGCTTGCCTAATCATCATGAAGAAGTCAAGAAAATGGAGTGCTCCGGAGTTTAAAGAATAAACTGCAGGAAGTGCAAACAAAAATAAATAGGAGACAAGAAGGACAATCATTTTAAGGATAAAATAACAACATCAACTATGCAGAAAAATGGATAGGGAAAGCTAAGCACATCGCCCTTACCAGCCACCAAATTGATTGGAGTCCAACAGAAAAGTTAGCCGCATATGAGGAAAGCACAAGAAAAGAGTAAATCAGGAGGCTGTTGACATCCTCTTTCAAATAAACCTGATAAATATGAGATTAGGAGTCAGCGATAATTTCGCGAACTTCCTAAACAGACTTGGAGATTCAACGAAGACCTTAAAAATAAAACGCTTGGACTTAGGAGAACTAACCAACAAAAGGAAAAAACATTGCCAAGGAGAGGTTTATTAGGGACAAAGGGAAGCTGAAAAAAGGCGATAGCTTTAAAAGGAATCAAACCTGGAATCGGCAAAAATTTTACCCGGGGGGCCCACTTGTGGGATGTGGAGTATAAAACTAAAGGCTAAAGGGATAGGTGAGCCAGATATATGTCGCCAATGTGTGTGCCTTAATAAGAGATGACGAGTAACATGCTTGACCAGGAGGGATACCAGCCAACGTATGCATGAACAACCTCCTAGCACCCTAAGAATAGATGACTGTCAACATAAGAGACGAGATGAGCGTTGTTTTCGCGATTTAATTGGGTAAAAAGGGAAGCGGTGTATTTTCACACAGGGCACCAAAGAATGAGATACATTGCGGGTGGGGATGAGAAAGAGGATAACTAAGTTTGGGTTTAAGCCTAGACAGAAAGATTTCCTGGCACTGGAATGGCCATCACCTGCCCTAGTTACTTGAATATGACGTAAACGGAGAAGGGAATTGAAGGCTTAAGGGCAATCAGATTCAAGACAATCAGAGTTGTTTTGAGGCTTAACAACGCCCAAATGGCAAGCGAGGTGGAAGAAGGGGTGGCTGAATGAAGATAAGGATCCCTGCAAACGGCACCTGGAACAGGTGGTGAAGATGATTATGCTTCGAAAACCCATTTGAGGCGACACACACTTAGGCGACATTGGAGGAAATTAAAGCATATAAATGTAATAAGTAGATGGGCAATATGAAGAGGAAACCTTGTGGAACGTACCTAGTCCCGTTTCCTCTGCAATATCATTCATGATGTCCAGCTGGATACATTCCCAAAAATTTCGCTGGCGTCATCAGTGGTTCGCCATCGTAAGCACAGAGTTACAACTTATCAAAGTGACAAGTGAAGGCAATCCCCTTGACCAATTTTCTGTTCAACCGTTGTGGCATCACTCCTCGACCTTATTTTTTGTTGCACCTTCTAATGTCGCATGTCCTTCTCCAAACTCAACTTATATGACCCATCGACTTATTCACACAATTCTGTACACTTATTTCCTCCAATGACGCCTAAGAGTGTCGACACAGGTGGGTTCAGTGAAAAGTAATAATCTTCACCAACGGTACCAGATGCCGTTTGCAGGGCTCCTGAACTACATTCTAACCCCCGTGTTTACCTACTAGCTTGTCAATTGCCACCTGCTAAACATCAAATTCACTGTCTGGCTGTCTCAAATCTGGCTGCCCAAGAAACTTCAATTCTCGTCTTATATTACGCCATATTTGAGGATTTAGAGCAGATGATGCCCATGTTCATGCTCATGTACATGCCAGTGCCTGGGGATTTTCTTCTTCCTAGGTTTCAAGACCATGACTCGATTGTCCTCTCCCTCATCCCTACCCACATTGTGTCTCATTCTTTGTGGCTTTGTGTCCCGCTCAAGTCATAACGACTGGTGAGAATGCACCGCTTCATTTTTATCATTTGAATTGCGAAAAACACACTCCCTTGCCTCT